TGAGGGGTGAGACGGAGCTTAAAGCATGTACTGAATCTCTAGCTTTCTTAAAATTCCTCAAGCATGGGAAACTAGTTAGTCCAACTAATATCACATGTCCACTCTTGTAAGATCTTGAATTTTTTTACATATTTGACCGCTCGACCAATAATATTTACAGCCCCTAGCTAATGTATATATAAATTTGTTTCTTTTCGTCTTCTTGAGTCGAGGGTCTATCGGAAACAACCTCTCCACTTCCTCGAGGTACGGGTAAGGTCTGCGTACACACTACCTTCCCCAGACCCTACTTGTTGGATTTTACTGGGTCGTCATCGTTGTTGTTTGAGCGGATGACTATTCAAGTTAATTTCTCAGATTTTTATTCACAATGGACCTTGTCTAGCTAATTTTTCATGTACAATTGTTCTTCTCCTTTAATACCAAGGTTGTATAAGATATGATAGAATTAATTTGAATGCCATGTGAAAATTCCTACTGTTGAAACATCGTATGTGTCTTGTACTATTAATGTCATTGAATTTTAAGATGCACTTTCGTGATAAAATTAAGAGCCCGTTTGGACATATGGATTTTTTTACTTTTTTGATTTTTTTTTCGAAATCAGTGTTTGGCCATAAAATTTTCAATTTTCATTTGAAGATGAATTTTGGAATTTTTCGAAAATTTAAAAACTTCAAAAAGTTATTTTTCAAAAATTTCACTCAGATCACTTACTAAAATTTAAAAACAACTCAACTCTAATTTTTAAATACCATTTTTACTTTAAAAGAAATTCAACTTTTTTTTGGAATTTTACAATTCTTATGTCCACACGCCCACTAATTTTGTCTTTGTCAAAAGCTAACATACAATGTATACGGACATGATACTTTTAGTAGTGGAAACACAACAAGAATATTGTTGATGTCATGATCAAGGAGATCTGATTTCTTAAATCAAATATTTGAAATTCAACTATAAGTAATAAGTGTATATTAGTAAACTCTAAAATAAAGATTAATAACGTTTACAACATTTTATTAAATTGCTTTAAATTTCTTGATTTACCTCTCTTTGCATTGCAAATTTACAGTAAGTCTTCGATAAAGTGTGAATGGATCTCATCCATCTCATCATGTATCGTTCTTGAGAAATACAATATAACAACCAGTCTTAACTAGATCGCTTTTGATGAAATAAATATTCCTTCAAAATTCAAACATGTTTAATTATTTGTAAAAAGGATTAATAGACTACTTGAACCGCCGACCTATAGTGACAATAATACATTTATTATAAAAGGAGAATGTCCATATATTATGTATTTTGACTAATTTATTCAAATAATGGCACTTGGAAAATATATTATAATGCATATCTTATGCTCTTGATTTTGACCCCGTCAAAGTCAAATTCACATTATTCTTCTAAAGTAAGCTAAGGTTAGGAGACTTTTTTTTCTTTTAATTTTAATTATAAATTATTTAAGTTGCACGCTACTCTTTCCCATGATGTATTGTTGACAGACATTTAGGGGCCATTTGGCCATACACAATTTTTCCTTTTATTTTTTATTTTTTTTATTTTTTACTTTTTTTGGAAATTAGTATTTGGCCATGAAATTTTCAATTTTCACTTGAACATGAATTTCGGAATTTTTCAAAAATTTGAAAAACTCCAAAAGGATCTTTCAATTCAATTCGCTCATAAAACTTCAAAAACAACCAAAAATTGTATTTATGTCCAAAAACAACTCTAACTTTCAAATACCATCTTCACTTGAAATTCCCTCCACCCCCCCCCCCCCCACTTTTTTCGTAATTTTACAGTTCTTATGTCCAAACAATTTATCACTAAATGACCAAACTAACCTAATCTTACAATAATGGACATGTGATATTGGAAGGACTAACTAGTTTACCATACCTAATAAATTCTAAGAAAGCAAGAGATTCAGTACATCCTTTAACATCTGGTTTGCCCCTTAATAATGGTGGAAAGAACAACCAAAAGCTGGTCAAAATTATAAATCCTAGTGCTAATGGGCCTGAGATAATCCTAGGAACCAAAAATTTGCCATTCAACAATTTCTTGATCACAATTTCAAGAGTTAAAGCCACTCCATGAATGATAAAGAAGCATGTGACTTCCCAACTAGGATTCATTCTTGATATGTAGTAAAAAATCAGCTCATGCATTAGCCCGGACACGAAAAACGTCGCGAGCACGGCAGGAAGTGGGGCCCACTTCCTCGGGATCCGGTCTGACATTATAGACCGGACAGGATCGTAAACGGTCAGACGGAGTATGTTGGTTACCATGAGGTTCCACCTCCTACCCCAGAAATCTTGAAGCGAGCTAGTCTTGTAAGGCTCATCAAAAGGTGGTTCAAGCTCGACTCGACTCACGACTCGAACCATGGTGCTAACCGTGGTTAACATGATCTCTAGCACGAAGTAAATGTGGAGACAATAGAAGAAGAGAATGATTTTTGGATTCAAATGGTCTTTATAGTTATACACCTTTATCAAAATGGCTAGAAGTGCAAATTTGGTAACAAGATTTAAAGTTGATTTTGTGCTCTTTTGGGTGGTTTTAGTTGATGATGTTTGAAATTTAATAGGCAAACAAGCCAAAGGAATGAATGTTGAAAGTGGCAAAGGTGGAGTTGATGACAAAGGACCTTTACCAAAAGCAAAAAGAAGAAGCTTGAAATTGGCTAGCCATGCAATGAAGAATGAAGTAGTAGAACCAAGATTAATATAGGTAAGATAGAGAGGAAGAATGAAAAATAGACAAACTATGGGAATTATAGCAAGAAATCTTGATTTGCCTTTGGGAAAGAATTTGGCTATGGTGTGAGAGTAACATAAAGATGTTAAAACAATAGCCCATACCACTATGAAATTGTGGATCTGCCCTTCCATTTCTCTTCTATTTCTTCTTCTTTTGGGAAGATGGCTGGATTTAAGTAGGTTTGGACATAAAAATTGTAATTTAAAAAAAATATTTGGAGTTAAGTTGAAAAATGATATTTGAAATTTGAATTTATGTTTGGACATACATTTCACTTGAAAAAATATTGCTGTTTTGTGAGTGGGGAAAAAAGTTTTTTTTAAATTTTTTTTGAAAAAAGTGGTTAAAATCACTTTTTGGTTTTTGAAAAACTCATTTTCGAAAAATTTTCAAAAACTTGCAAAATTTCATCGACAAACACATTTTTTTTTATTTTTTATTTTTTATGGACAAACGGGTCCTTAAAATCCCCTGTATTATTTGTGATAGAAGAATAAAAATACATGTAATGATGATTGACCTAGAGGACATCTTGAAGTGGGGTTGGGGAGGGTTCACATAATTAGATTAGTCTTCATCTGAGATATATTTAATAATTAGGACAGATATATTGCACATGATCAAGGAGATCTGGTATATATAAAGCAGATCTAGTATTTTTACACTAACAATTCAAATAATCTTTTATCAATATAATTTTTATACATTGATAATACAAAAATTTGTACAATCTTAGCGTGTATTATAATATCTTGTTGTAGGTGTCTTGTCTTATTATCCAAATTACCAATCTATTATAAATTATTAAAGTCATCATTTAAGTAATCGAATAATGTAAAATTAAGTTCTTTTTATAATTAAGTAAGCGTTTCCCTGTAAAGAAAACCATCGAAATTTCAGATGTTATTTCCAGACTTGTCCATAATTAAATTGTAAAAGCAAATTGTGACTTTGTAGATTATATATATTGTGACTCATTAATATATAATAAATTAATAGGCAAAATACATATACGGTCTCTTAAAGTTGATTATATTTTTCATTTTGATACCTAAATTAGAATATGTCTTTATTAGATACTCCAACATCATTAAGGGGAAATACAACCTTTTCATCATTTCAAGCCCCCCAAAAAAGTGTATATTCGTATAATGTGCTATGTCATTAATTTGTATTTAATAGGCACAATTTTAATGATGTTGGAGTGTCTATAGAAATAAATATTAGTCTAGGTATCAAAATAAAAAATTGCAACAATTTAAGGAGACGCGTATGTATTTGGCCAAATTAAAATGTGTTTCTTTGTTTTCCAGCTTAAACTGCATATTATTTAAAAAAAAAAAAACAATTTTATATGTCAGGATAGCTGTATTTTTTTTATTAAAAAAATAGAATATGAAAGTAATTATATTGCTTTTGTGCGTGGGTGAAGGGTCTCTTTCAAATACATCTTCTCACCACAACTTCAAAAGATATATTTGAAAGTTCATCTCAAAATTCAATATTTTAATTTTTGAGGTAAAGGTAAGATGCAATTCAATATTGGCAAATACAATAAGGAATGAAACTACGAAAGATACAATGTTTTCTTTTTCTTTTGGTTTCCCACCCGATGTCCGGTACCCATATTGGAGCCCGACTATAGTTGGATCGCGCCGCGTAGGGCCCCATTCGGAGGGAAACGCTCCCTACCAAAGATTTTTCCATACCCAGGACTTCTTCCAAAGTAAACGTCGTTTTAGGGACATTCTGCTTTCCTCTTTCTAGTTTACTTTTGACATAAAGGATCCTAAATTAACATTTATTATTAAAGTCTTTGAACTAGGATATGATGCAGTGGCGAAATCAGAAATTTGTCCACGAGTGTTCAACATTAAAAAAATTAAAAATATTCCCCAAAAAGGATGCTCAATACATGTTATATATTTTAAAAAATATTTTCCTTATACATAGTGTAATTTTTCAACAAAAGATGATCAATTGACCATTCTTTAAGATATATAGTTTCGCCCCTGATACGAGTTAGTTGTAGGCCGGATCTCGCGGACCAAGGAGAGTAACATGTGATGAAGGAGCTTCAACTGAATTTCTTTGACGACAAATTATACTATTGGGCAAATAGAGTAAAAACAAACTTCTTTTGTGTATAATTCCTTTAATAAAAAGAAAGCCTTTACTATAGTGAATTAGTGACAAATGTATATTTCAAAAATTACTTTAGGTTGTAGTTTGAATCTCAAGCATAACATTTTTTGCATTTTTTTACACATAACACAATACATGAAATGTAAGTGAATTTGTGTTGAGGGATTATCTCAAAAATGTTAAATCCAACGGTCCAGATCGTCCCGATAATCTTTGGCAGCTTAAACTCGCCATTAATCGCCTTTTTAACACAAATCTCAATGTTTAAACAGACCCCATGTAGCAAAAAGAACCAGGTGATTTCCCAAGTGGGCTTAACCCGGCCCAAATAGTAAAATATCAGCTCGTGCATTAGGCCCGACACAACGAACGTTGCCATCACGGCGGGAAGTGGGGCCCACTTCCGGCCCAAAATGTTTGTGGAGAGGCTTAGAGTTGGATTGTATACCGTGGGGCGAAGGATACGAGTGACAATGAGATTCCAACGCCGGCCCCAAAAATCTTGTAATGAGGTAGATAGATATGGTTCATTGAACTGTGGTTCGAGCTCGAGCCCGAGAAGCCCACGGGCCAAGCCCGAAACAATGGCTAGAATGATTTCTAAGCAAAGGTATATGTGGAAGCAATAAATAACCAAAATGATATAGGGATGTATGTAGTCACTATAGTCATACACTCTAATAATTAAGGCGAAAAGAAGTGCCTTTACGCCATAATTCAGAACTGACTTGGATTTTCCGGAAGATAGAAATGGCCTTTCTTGCAAATGGCCATTTTGATGACTATACTTCCTATTTTGAACACCAGTACATTTTTCAGCTGATTTTTGAGATGGGGTTTCAGGAAAATGACCATCTTGAAAAGGGTTATTTTCAGTTCTAGCAGTTGAGTTGAGAGCTGGTGTTTCTTGAAAATGGCCATTTTTGTCAAATCCTTTCTTGTTTGTACACTAGCAATTTTTTCAGCTGACTTTGTTGATGGGGTTTCTTGAAAATGGCCATTTTTGTTAAACTTTCTTGTTTGTATACCAGAAACTTTTTCAGCTGACTTTGTTGATGGGGTTTCTTCAAAATGGCCATTTTTGTCAAAATCCTTTCTTGTTTGTGCACCACAAACTTTTTCTGCTGACTTTGTTAATGGGGTTTTACGAAAATGGCCATTTTGATGAAGTTTACCTCTATTAACCCCATTTTGCACATAAAATTCAGTTTTTTCTTGGGATTTTTGCTGAATCTTGATGGGGAGGCAAGCAAGGATGATAAATTTAGTGATAGAAAGTGAAGAATCAGAAAGTGGACCTTGGTCAAAAGCAAGGAGAAGAAGCTTAAAATTGCAAAGCCAAGAAATGAAAAAAGCAGTATTACCACAAAGATGAACAGAGTTAATTTTGAGAGGGAGATAAAAGAAAAAACAAATCATAGGGAGAAAAGATAAGAGCCTAAATAAACCTTTTGGAAGAATTTTAGTAACTAAATAACAATAACATAGTGATGCATAAATTGATAGCCATACCTTAATAAAAGTTTCAATTTCTCCTTCAATCCAATATTTGATCACGTTACTTATATTTCCCTCCATATTACAACTCTGTTCTTTTGTTTATTTTCTTTTTTTTTTCCTCCTTTTATTCCTCAAAAGAAGAAGAACACCAAAGGAAGAGAACAAAAGCAGAAGGAGACATAAGATAAAATTCTCTGCTCTAACTTCCTTTAATCAGTCCACAAATTAGAATATATTTAGGTAAGCCAATCGATTTTTGACACGTGTAATTGGAAGTGTTACGTATTATAATAATTTTCAATGTATGGCAGACTTCTTTGGAATTTTTTTTCCGACCAACCTATGTACAACATTAAATTTAACTAGTCAAATTTTGTGGCTTTATGTTTATCGAATCAGAAAGCTAATTGTTACTATTTCTATATTCAGAAATTTCAAATAATGTCTCCATATATACAGAGATATAGAAAATAAAAGGGAAAGTAAAATAAAAGGAAATAAAAATGTAATATTAAAATAAAAGGAAATAACAAAATATATAATAGATATGTGCTTGCCTTTGGGCTGGATTCTTATTATCTGTGAGCCCATTCCAAATTTTAGCTCAGGCTTAAATCTGAACCTATATATATAGATCATTGTTTCTCTTTCCCCAAACCCTAAACCCTAGATCCCACAATTTCCAGCAAACATTAGCAGATCTCACACCTCCTCCTTATTGTCCATATGCGTATATTTTAGGGAAGGTGATTTCTGTCAAGAATGCGCTATCAAAACCTACTCAGCTAAACTTGGCGATAGGGAGAGGTTTGGCCGCGTGGTTCAATCGGATTTGATTATATAACAGAGATATTGGAAAAAATTCAATTTCTCTGGGTCTTAAGGGTGCTATACTCTGGATTGAAAACCTGTATAAAAAGCAGTCTTGAGAGACAAGATCAAATCTCTTGAAAAAGAAGTTTAGGAATTTTTTTTTTGAAAATTGAGGCATTTAAAGGGTAAGTTTCATAAATTTCTCTCTGTGTGTGTGTATCTCTCTCTCTCTCTCTCTCTTTACGAGTGTAGACAGATATTGAAAATGAAAAAAGGGACTTGTTTCTTAATAAATCTAGAAAGAGAAAGTAAAGTGAACAATGATAAAGTTGTGATTACCCATAAGAATAACTTTTTTCTTTTTCACTTCGAAAAAAGGGCAAAACTGTCCTGATACCAGTAATTATTATATATCAGAGCCAATAAAATAATTATATATAATTTATTGGCTCTGATACCAGTAATTTTTATGCAAGCTATATATATATATATATATATATATCTACGTCTGAGGAATTGATTCTCCTTATTCGACACTTCATATAACAAGATGGATCGTGCTATTTTAGCAGTATACCGGAAAAGAAAACCCTATTAAAAGCTAGAAAACATAATTATGATTAGAATAAAAATAAATTTACATGAATATTGAGAAATTAAGTAGAAAACTGTCCACAAAAATAATTCTTAGAAGCATATAAATGAGATTTCACTACTAACGTGATCGAAAGAAATTTTTTCTTCATTCGCACAATACTCAAAGTACTTGCAAAGAAAAAGTCCACAACTTGAAAAATCAGTCTGCAATAGCATAACTTTCATCTTGATTACTTTGAATTGGTCAGCATCAATGGAGTCCTCCAATAATCTAATCTGAAAATATAATGTCAGTACGAGTATTTCAAATAATTGGTACTTGTATAAATAACTGAAGACATACCAGCAAAAAAATCAACGGCTTATAATCTTCCACACGTTGATCAGCGAAATAAAAAATGTAAATTTTCCTCTTTCTCAAGTCAGCACATGCTCCAAAGTTGTGATTCATAACCAGCACTGGAAGAAAGATCTTGATGGAAAAAAACAAATGGGCATTATACTCATGCTTTAGCATTGTTGTCCTAGCCATAGTATATTTTCCTTTACCTTTTTGTGGGTTTTCTTATGCCTGCGTAGTTGTTGGATATCTATTTTCTTTGACGGGTAACTGCTTATCTTACTGATATAGAACCAAAGAAAGGAAATTGCATACATGGATGGTGTACATGTCTAAGGAAAATATATGAAGAAAATTGGAGTCACATACGACATGTAAGATGCTGTAAAAATAGGAATCTGCGAAATTTGCACCCAAAATATCAAAGAAAGACTCCATAGTCTGCAATAAAGATTTATTAATTGTAAGAAATATGAATTTAATAATATATTATTCCATCTATTAAGCAAGAAAACTATCTAAAGAGTACACAAATACCTCAGTACTGAACCACTTTGTTGTATTGAGAAGCTCCAGATACTTTTCTTGCTTGTTATTATGAAATATCTCCTCGATTCTATTTGCCAGACTGCTATCAGAATAATTATCCTATATCTCCTAAAAATTGTGCAACAGAAGACATAAAACGTCATTATTATGTTAATGAAAATAACTCAAGTTCAACCTCTTCTAAATTATGCAGTAAATTATAATATTTTGCGGACTTTTAAACTGACATGATTCCTCAATAATTTTTAATTCTTTCACCCCAGAAAAGAATTCAACAAGAAAGAATAAGATAGAAAGTATAAGAATTTAAAACTAAAAATATAATATATGCCACTACCTATCCAAATTCTTCAAAAACTCCCAAAAAGTATTTACATCATCCGAGCCTTATTTGATTTGCTTGTCTTGACAATGCAGGATTCCGAAATAGAAGCTGAAGAGTCCAAGGAACTGGCCTCTTTATATATATATATATATATATATTAAAGTATTTTATTGATGATAAGTACCAAAGAGGTACTCTAACAGTAAAAAATGGTGCAGTCATAACATAACCACGAAAACTTACACATAAGCTTCTTCAGGGAAGAGTTTTTTTTTGGCAGGTTCGTATTCAAACCCACAGTAGTAATCATTGGGCCTCGGTTCAACCAATTTACAGAATTGCTTCACTTTGTGCACCTTGCATTTTCCTTCAATGCTTTTTGAAGACATAGTATTGCCTTCAGTTCTAAAGAACAACTCATCTTCCCTACGCCAATATGCAGGGCCATCTGGCATGTCCGTGGGGTGGTAGTACAACCGCACATCTACATTTGGGCAGTAATTTTTCTTTTGGAACGGACTGCTCGAAAACTCACTATTTCTGCCACATACGGTATTTTACCCTTTGATGTAATTAAAACAACATCGCCAACTAAGAGAGAAAGGGGTGACAAAAGATTAAAAGCTCAACAGTCAAACAATTATTCCACCATAAAAAAAAAAAGAACACTGTCACGATCCAAAATCTACTAAAGGTCGTGATGGCGCCGGACACCACTGTCAGGCAAGCCAACACCAAGAAGTTAATTAAATTTCTGTTTTAGTATTTATTGAAATCATTCCTTTTATACATTAAACAAGAAATAATGAAATTCATTAAAATAAGATGATGTCTTTAACAAAATTAATATTTAATAATCCCATAATCATCCCAGAACCCGGTGTCACAAGTGCATGAGCTATTTCTAGGAAATCAAATAAAGTGCAATAACTGTCCAGAATACAAATTGGACAGAAGGTAAAAACTATACACTGAAAGAGACTATGCTGGCTGCAGATCGCCTCGAGAGATGCAGCTCACCTAAGTCTCTATATCATCCATGCTTCTACGCCCATTGGGCCGCTAGGGGTATATGTGCCTGTGCAACAAAAATGCACAGCAAGTGTAGCATGAGTACAAAAAAACAACATGTACTCAGTAAGTATCCCATCTAATCTCGAAGAAGTAGAGACGAGAGGTCGACTTCGACACTTACTAGTGGTCCAATAATAATATACCAATAATACAGTAAATCGAGGGTTTTTATAAAAAATGGTTGTAACTCAATAGCATGAAGCAAGTAAACAATTCTCTTATTCATAGGGAATTTCCAAATTCGTTTTCATCATTTATACATTTATTCTCAATTCGAGGAAGCAATATCCTCATTTATAAATATCAAGGCAAGCAATACAAGCATGTGCAAATCATGCCGAGGACGTACGGCACGATCCAACAATATTTAAACCGTGCACTGCCAGAGGGTCGAATGACGTGAACCATAGATGCATCTATTACCCCCCTCGCGAATCATACATGCGACGCGGTCAAATATAAATAAATAATCACCCCGCTCGCGAATCATACATGCGACGCAGGTACACATAGAAACACGCATTCAAACAGTCAATCAAGACTTCATCAGGGAAAAACAATTACCCAAAAAAATAGCAATTCTCTTTAACGGTCAAGAAAATAATGTTTAATTCCTTTAGAAATTCATTTACCAATTCAATATGATTTAAGCATTTTAAATCGACAACAAGATACCAAATATTACAAGTAGAGCATGCTTTTGGGTCCTAGACTACCCGGACTTACGCATAATAGTAGCTACGCACGGACTCTCGTCACCTTGTGCGTACGTAGCCCCCACAAATAGGAGCACATATCCAATTAATTCATCTATGGGGATAATTCCCTCTTACAAGGTTAGAGAGGAGACTCACCTCGCTCTGAAGTTCCAAAACCGGCTTCCAAGCCCTTCCGACGACTCAAATCGATGCACAACGTTCCAAAACTAGCCAATAAATGAGAAAATCCATAAACATATGCTCTAATACTCACAACAATTCAATTTTGATAAATTACTAACTCCGTTCGAAAATTTGACAAAATCGCCCTCGGCCCCTCGTGCCCGGATTCCGAAAAACTCATAAAATCCGACAATCCATTCTGATACGAGTTCAACCATACCAATTTTATCAAATTCCGATAACAACTTGACCTCCAAATCTTGAATTTTCGTTCTTGAAAAGTTTTACAAAAATCTTGATTTCTTCCATTTAAATCCGAAATAAATGATGAATATAACCATAGAATCATGAAGTATAATTACTATCGGAACACTTACCCCAATCCATATGGTGAAAATCGCCTCAAAATTCGCTTCAATCCGAGCTCCATAGCTCCAAATATGATAAAAATGGCCGAAACCTCAAAATATAGCTTCTGCCCAGGTATTTACTCTTTGCAATCGCGGAAAATGCTTCGCAATCGCGAAGCACAACATTTCTCAGCCCAAAATTTGCCTTTCGCGATCGCGAAGAACAAATGCCCAGCTCTTCGAGCAAGTCTCTAGTATAATGGACA